AGGAGGAGGAGGAGGGAGGAGGAGCGCCATCTGCCTTCTCCGGGGCGGGCCAGGGCTCGGGTCGGGGCCGGGTACGGGGCCAGAGCCGGGGGAGAAGCCACCCGCCTGTCCTCCTTCTCCACAGGGGGGGACCGCCCGGGGTGGGGGTCATGACCCTTTGGGCCCCCCTTCGGACCCTCCCCGGGACCGCCCACCGGGACCCCCCCCCGGGATTCTAGACCTCTTGGTGGGGTCTGAGTAGATGGGGTCGGACGTTCTCGCCGCATCGCCGATGCATCGCCGATGCGTCTCGATGTGGAGCCCGTGTTTCCCCACGCCGACGTCGCCGATGCATCGGCGATGCGTCGCCGATGCATCGGCGATGCGGCTCGAAATGGAGCCCGATCTTCTCCACGCCGACGTCGCCGATGCATCGGTCGCGTTTGCCTCGCCAATGCATCGGCGGTGCATCGCCGATGCGGATCGATCCTCCGAGCCCGTCTACTCCGACCCCATCTGGGAGGCCTCTACAAGCGGGATTGATAGGTCTTAGTCGTGCTCGCGTGGCCTCCGAACGGAAGAGAGGGAGGACGGAGAGGAGCAAGGGGGGGGGACGAGGAGGGAGGGGCCCATACCCCGACGCCACGCTGTCTTCACAGCGGGGTCCCAGGGAGCTCTCGACCGATTCCCCAGGATCAGCTTTGCACCCTGGCTCGTTCTTTTGACGGTCGAGTGCCCTCAAGCATTGGGTAATATCCGACCCTGAGCCAAGCCTCGGGTTGGCCGCCGCGATCGCAGCGGCCACAATCGGGACACGGTTTTTGTGTACTTACGCCCAGCACGGGTAGTCGTTTTTTTCTTGGTCAGTGCCTGGGCCGATGATCACGCAACCGCCCAGTGGCCGCAAACGGCGAAACACGTCCGTCTTGTTTCTTTCACGGCGCGTCTGGATCTGGGGAGGACGGACATCCCAGACGTGCGATGTCTTGATTTTTTACAGTCCGACCCTTTCCCCAGGGCCAGCTTTTCGTCCCGAGCCGTGCTTTGGACGGTCCTGGGGCCTGGCGAGGGCCCCCGGAGGTCGACGGTGGTCCAAAACCGTTCGTCCTGATTTTTGTGCGGCGCGAGAATGTCTGGGAGTGTGAGCCGGGGCAGGGCAGTTGGGCACTCCCCCGCGCCGCCAGGTGCCGGACGACCAGACCAAGGACGGGACGAGCTTGCTGAAGGCCGTGCTGCTCGCCGACCGCGCCGCCGCGTTCACGCAGCTGGGGAGGCCCAGTGGGTGGAGTAAGGGACGCAGTTGGGGAGGGGGCGGGGGGGAGGGGGGGTCGCGGCGGGGGGAGGGAGGGACTTCGGAGGGTGGGAGGAGTGCGGGAGGACGGGGAATGAGGAGGAGGAAGGTGGCAGGAGGAGGAGGAGGAGTCATGAGGAGGAGGAGGAACGAGGGAGGAGAGGAGGAGGAGGAAGAGGAATGGGAGGAGAGAGGAGGAGGAGGAGGAGGAGGAGGAAGAGAGGAGGAGGAGGTAGGAAGCGGAGGAGGAGGCGGAGGCGGAGCGGAAGGCGAGTGCGGGGGGGAGGGCGGGGGGCGGGGGCGGAGGTGGAGGGCGGGGGCGGAGGAAGGCGGAGGCGGAGGCGGAGGCGGAGGCGGAGGCGGAGGCGAGGCGAGGCGAGGGCGAGACGGGGCGGGGGCGGAGGCGAGGCGGAGGTGGAGGCGGGGGCGGGGCGGCGGCGGTGGCGGAGGCGGAGGCGGAGGCGAGGCGGCGTGCGGCGGCGGTCGCGCGGCGGCGGCGGAGGCCGAGGCCGAGGCGGAGGCGGAGAGGAAAAGCAGAGGAGGAGGAGGAGGAGGAGGAGGGAAGGAGGCGGAGGGGAGGAGGAGGAGGGAGGAGGCGGAGGAGATGAGGACGAGAGGAGGAGAGGAGAGGAGGAGGAGGAAGGAAGGAGGAGGAGGAAGGAGGAGGAGAGGAGGAGGAGGAGGAGTAGGAGGAGGAGGAGGAGGAGGAGGAGGAGTGGATGTGGGAGGAGGGGAGAGAATAGGAGGAGGAGGAGGGGAGGAGGAGGAGAGAGGGGGAGAGAGGAGGAGGGAGGATGTACACAGGTGGGAGTCCGCGATCCGGGACGCGGACGTGGCGACCGTGGCCAAGCCCAGCTACGCGCGGGCGTTCACCCGCCTGGGGGTCGCCCTGCTCGGCAAGGCGCGGACCGAGGAGGCTCGCTTCCGCGCACAGTATCCAAAGGGACGGGGGAGACTTCTTCCTCTTTCGTTCCTCCTGGCTTCGCCTCGCTCCTCCTTGCTGCCTCCCTCCTTTTCTCCTCCTCGCTCTTCTTCCTCCTCCTCCTCCTCCTCCTCCTCCTCATCTCCTCCTCCTCCTCCTCCTCCTCCTGCTCCTCCTCCTGCTCCTCCTGCTCCTCCTGGTCCTCCTCCTCCTCCTCCTCCTCCTCCTCCTCCTCCACTCACTCTCCCCCCCCTCTCCTCCGCCGTTCCTCCCTCCTCGCCCGTCCTCGCTCGTCTACGCTCCTCCTCTTTCCTCGCTCCTCCTCGCCCCTTTTCGCGCGTTCTCCTCACCCCTCCTCCTTGCTCCGTCTAGCTTCTCCTCTTTGCTCCTTGCCTCTGTGCTTTGCATGGTGGTCTTCCAGCAATCTCAAGTTTGAGCTCCATAAAGTCCCGTGTCCGCCCCTCACACGGGTTCGGCCATCCAGTTATGCGTACTGGTAGGTTTGTGTTCTGCAAGTGATGTTGGTCCCACTCGTCCTTACATGTCGGCCACCTGCAGCACAATATATGCCGCTGGCGTTCAGAATCCACCACTGCCAAGTACAGGCTTTGCAGGTAATGCAGTGCATGGACCCCACGGCAAGCCCGTCCTTAGGTCCTGTGTTACCAGTGCGAAAGCGGCTGCATGACGAATGGGGGCACCCAGCTGCTGTTGACCCTGGTCATGCGTTGGTCCCCCTTCTCGTTCTCCGGACTTGTCATTATTGCTGTAGGGCCCCTGCCTTGTCGGCCATCCACATTTGTGTTGCCGTTTTGTAGTCTGCAGTCTCTTGTCTCCCCTGCAGCCGGGGGTGGGCTGCTCGTGCTGAGCGCGGCTGCCCCTTGTCGTCTCGAAGACCTGCCTGCCTTTTCGAACACCTGCCTCTTGTTGCTGTCTGTTTTTATTGCGAAGGCCTTACGGCCGGTGCCGCCGACCCTGAATGGCGACGACGACGACGACGACGACGACGACGACGAGCGCTCTTGGGGGCCTCTTGGGGGTAGTTTGTGGGCCTCTTGGGAAGCTCTCAGGGGCCGCTTGGAAGCCTCGTGGGGGCCTCTTGGGGCTTCCTGGGGGTCTCTTGGAGGGGGCATGGGACGTCTTGGAGGCTTCTTGGACGGTCTTGGGGCTATCGTGGGCGTTTTCGGCCGATCTTTGGGCGACTCGGGGCCCTCTTGGGCCGTCTCGGGGGCCATCTTGGGCATTCGGACCTCATTTGGAGTGTTTTCGAGGTTTCGAGGCCGCCCGAGGAAAAACGAATCTGCCCCCCCACCCACCCCCCCACCACCACCCCCAGGGACCCCTCCCCCCCCCCCCCCCGGAACCCCCCCCCCCCTGGGGAAGGGATCGAAGGGAAGGGGCTTCCCTTCGACTCGATTACGACACTGCTAGATTTTTCTCTCGCTCACGAGCTTGAATCCCCTGCAGCCGGGGGTGAGCTGCTCGTGCTGAGCGCGGCTGCCACTTGTCGTTTCGAAGACCTGCCTGCCTTTTCGAACACCTGCCTCTTGTTGCTGTCTGTTTTTTTTAATCGCTTCGCTCATGCCGCCGGCCCTGGAGCCCTCTTTAGGGCCTCTTGGGGGCCTCTTGGGTACCTCTTGGGAGTCTCTTGGGGCTCCTTGGCGGCGTCTTGGGGGCTCCCAGGGCCTCTTGGGGAGCTCTTGGGGGCCTCTTGGGGCGGGAGGGGGGGTAGTCGATTGCGGCTCCCCCCTTGGAGGCCACGATCCTCGTGAGGGGTGTCGACAAATGGCCCTCCCCTGGAGTGCTCTGGTGGCTTCTCCCGGGACCTTGCCGGGGTACTTTTCGTCCAGGGGCCCCCAGGGGCCGCTCCGCGCGCGCGAACTAGAAATATTGTTAACCAGTTGCCAGAGATCTTAGCACGCCTCTGGCCCGTTGGGGCGGCGAATTTTGTTACCTATACGACCACCCTTCGGGTGATAAGGAGGTTCGGGGGGGGGAACCAACGTCTCACTCGATCGGTCTCGCTATCGATCTCAGTATCGATCTCACTATCGGTCTCGCTCGATCGATCTCACTCGATCGATCTCACAATCGATCTCACTCGATCTATCTCATTCGATCGATCTCACAATTGATATCACAATCGATATCACAATCGATCACACAATCGATCTGACATTCGGTCTCAATATCGATCTCACTATCTATATCACAATCGCTCTCACAATCAACGTCATCATCATCATCAACACATTCACCAACATCAACATCATCGCCAACATCGTCATCATCATGAGGGCATCGTCATCATCAGCATCATCATCATAAACGTCAGCATCAACGTCAGCATCATCATCGGGACAACATCATCATCATCACCATCATCATCTCATCATCAACATCATCATCATCATCGGGACACAGTCATCGTCATCATCAGCAGCATCATCAGTCATAATCGGGACACCATCATGATCACCATCGTTCTCATCATCAACATTATCATCAACATCGTCATCATCCTCGGGACACCATCATCATCATGATCATCGCATCATCATCGTCATCGACATCATCATCAACAACATCATCATCATCATGATTTGGGCACCATCATCATGAGCAACATCATCATCACCATCGTCATTATCATTATTATCATCATCGGGACACCATCAGCATCACCATCATCATCATCATCACCATCATCATCATCATCAGCATCGTCATCGGGACAGCATAATCATCATCAGCATCATCATCAGCATCATTATCGCCGGGACACCATTTCCATCAACATCATCATCACCAACATCATCGGAATCGTCATCATCATCATCATCATCATCATCATCATCGGGACATCATCATCGTCATCATCATCAACATAATCATCATGAGCATCAGCATCCTCATCATCGGGACACTATCATCATCGACACCATCATCAACATCATGATCATCTTCTTCATCGGGACAACATCATCATCATCTCATCATCATCATCATCATCATCATCATCATCATCATCATCTCATCATCATCATCATCATCATCATCCTCGCGGGACACCGCGGGACACCGGCGGGACACCGCGGGACACCGTGGGACACCGCGGGACACCGCAGGACACCGCGGGACACCGGCGGGACACCGCGGGGCCCCGGCCGCCCGGAAGGGAATCATTTGGTCCGGCCGCGCCTCAGCCACACGGGACACCAGCGGGACACCGGCGGGACACCGCGGGGCCCCGGCCGCCCGGAAGGTAATCATTTGGTCCGGCCGCGCCTCAGCCACAGGAGACTTTCTCTCGCCCGCCCACGCAGCTTCGCCTCGCCCGCACGGCACGCACGAACACGAAACCGAAATCGATTTCCCGGTAGGGGGGCTCGCCGTTCCACTTCGATCTTACCCCCTCACCTCCGATTACCTTTTCTTGCCTTTTTTTGTTGTCGTACTTGTTGTTGTCGTTGTCGTTGTCGTTGTCATTGTCGTCGTCGTCGTCGTCGTCGTTGTTGTTGTTGTTGGTGTTGTTGTTGTTTTCGTTGTTGTTGTTGTTGTTGTTGTTGTTGTTGTTGTTGTTGTTGTTGTTGTTGTGTTCGTTGTTGTTGTTGTTGTTGTTGTTGTTGTTGTTGTTGTTGTTGTTGTTGTTGTTGTTGTTGTTGTTGTTATTGTCGTTGTTGTTGTCGTTGTCGTTGTCGTTGTCGTTGTTGTTGTTGTTGTTGTTGTTGTTGTTGTTGTTGTTGTTGTTATGGTTGTTGTTTGTTTCGTTGTTGTTGTTGTTGTTATTCTTCTTCTTGTTGTTGTTGTTGTTGTTGCTGTGAGTGTTGTTGTTATTGTTGTTGTTGTTGTGATAGTTGCTGTTGTTGCGGCTGTTGTTGCTGCTGCTGCTGCTGTTGTTGTTGTTGTTGTTGGCCACCGTCCAAGTCCTGGTGGTAGTCCCGATTGGTCCTCCTCGCTCCTCTTTCCTCCTCGCTCCTTCTCGCCCCTCATCCTCACGCCGCCTCGCTCCTCCTGCTCGTTCCTCGCTCCTTCTCGCCCCTTCTCGCTCCTTCTCCTCGCTCTTGTCCCAACTTTCGCCCACCCTGGGGGCGGCCACCATTTGTTCGACGACGGGCCACTGTGGCCTCATGCGCACTGCGACCAGCCCGAGCTTGGCTGTAAGTTCGACATGCGTATTCCGCAGATCCGACTGACCGACCGACCACGCCCTCCGCTTCTCCACTTCGGTCATCATCTTCTTCCGTGCTCCTCTTCTCCGCTCCTCCTGCCTCCTCTTCCTCTTCGTTCCGCCCTTCTCCGTTCTCTTCGTTCCCCCCTTCTTCCCCTCCCGCCGCGCGCGCGGTGCGGGAGAACGCGCGGTTCGGGGAGAAGGAGGAGGCGGGAGGAGTTCGTCCCATCGTCTTTTGCTTACAGTCTCCAGTCATCTTCTTATTTTGCCCTGTGCTGCCTTTGCTTCCATACCCCCCGGCGTCTCGGGCTCCGGGCCTGGGGCCCTTCCGGGGGCCGGTCGAGGGTCGGGGACTGTCCTGAAGGGCGCGGCGCTGCCTTTGGTCTTCCGCGCGGGCCGCTCTTCCCCCGGGCATCCTGCGTTGGGTCCTCGCTTTGAATACGCATCGCTCCGCGTCCTTCCTCCCTCACCCCCCCTCCTTACTCCTCCCATCCGTGCCTCTGCCCTCCGCGTGTGCTCATCACCAGCAGCATCAGCATCAGCGTCAGCATCAGCGTATCGCTATAATCACCACCCCTGTCATCAGCATGACCATCAGCTGCACCATCATACTCATCAGCATCATCAGCATTATCATGATCATCATAATCGTCATCAGCATCACCATCATCACCACCATCATCATCACCATCACCACCATCACCAGCAGCATCATTATCAGCATCATCAGCATCATCATCATCAATCTCATCATCATCATCATCATCATCATCCATCATCAGCATCATCATCATCATCATCATCAGCATGACCATCATAATCATCATCAGCAGCAACGTTATCATCATCACCAGCATCCTCATCCTCATCCTCATCCCCATCATCATCACCACCATTATTATCATCATCTTCACCACTGCCATCATCGTCATCAGCATCATCATCGTCATCATCAGCATCGTCATTGGCATCGTCAACATCATCAGCATCATCATCTTCATCATCATCCTCATCATCATCATCATCATCATCATCATCATCTTCATCTTCATCTTCATCTTCATCATCATCATCATCATCATCGTCATCATCATCATCGTCATCAACATTTTCATCGTCACCATCGTACCAGCATCATCAACATCAGCAGCATCATCATCAGCATCAACACCACTACCAGCATCACCGTCATCATCAGCATCAGCATTAGCATCATCGTCAGCATCATAATGAGCATCATCATCAGCAGCATCATCATCAGCATTGGCACCGGCATCACCATCAGCATGAGCATCAGCATCAGCACCAGCACCAGCACCAACACCATCACCATCATCATCATCATCATCATCATCGTCATCATCATCGGCATCGGTCCTCGACTGTCCCGTAAGTGGCTTCACTGAAGGTACCAGTGGCAGCGACCGCATGCGGATCTCCCCCCACTTCGGCACACTCCTCTCACGTTTCGTGACCCCGTGAGGGAGCCCCACCGAAGGCCTCAGGGGCAGCGCCCGCATGGCGTCACCCTGCCGATACCGACACGCCCGTCACACGTCTCGTAACCCCGCAGGGACTCCACCGAAGGCCCCGATGGCAGCGCCCGCATGGCGTCACCCCGCCCATTTCGGCACACCCCTCGCGCGTTTCGTGGCCCCTCCTTCGCCCTGCCTGCTTTGGCGGCACGCAGCACTTCCGCGTGCACGTGGCTGGGCACTCGGCCAGGACACTGCTCAGGGCCCCAGCGGCCAGCAGCTGACCTCTGCAGGTCGGAGGCCCACCGCGCGGGAGCCGCGCACGGGGCGGGGCTTCAGCCCCCGCCACCCCTGGGGAAACCAAATGTACACCTTAGGCGATGCTTAAGAAAACCTAAGTTTTCGGCCAGAGTCTCGATTATTCTTAATTTTTCAATGTAAATCCCAAGATTTGAATAGACATTCTGGATATTCATTCAGATTCTGAGACTATGAATTTCTTAACCCATGGTTTCTTAAGCATTTCGCAGGGTGTACCGATACCGAACCCAAGGACGGCCCATGAGGGCCACGCGACACCAGAAGGGCTTACGGGAAGGCCCCGAGCCCAACAGCAGCGGCAAATCTCAGACCCCTTTTATCCTTCACAGCGTGCACGTGCGCCCGGGCGTGGATGCCGCCATCGCTGGCCGACAGAGTGGAAACCCCGACGATCTCCCGATAGGCTCCCAGCTCCCTGCCCACTCGTCCTGCGCGTGGTCGACGTGCTGTGCTGTCACACGCGTCCATGATGGATGGGCGGAGGGATTGGAGGGTGTCTGTGGGAGGATCGGTTTGGGATTGTCTTGGAATTCCTGGATACGTACTCGTCACGCTTTGGCTACTACGTGCAGAAGATGGCGGCTGCCAGTCAGATGTGTCCCAGCCTTGACCCTGCTCGCTTTCTGCTGCTCCGAGATTGGGGGTTTAGGATATGTGTCCCGGTCTCACTCTCTCTTCTCGGTTTCATCTACCATCATCCCCTCTGTGCCTGCCTACCTGAAATTGTGCAGCCAGTTTTTACAAGGGACACAGCGTTCTGGAGGTGATCGGTATGCGCCCCAGCCTCTTCCCTTCCGCTCGTTGCTGCCATCCTTCCGAGGCTGGAGGTTTGAGATGTCCGTCCCAGTCCCACTCTTCTCGGTTTTATCTTCATTTGGTTTCTCTCCCTTCCTCCCTCCCCTCACCCTCCCGAGTGGCCAAGAGCCACGACGCGGTCGTCGTTTCTTTGTTCGACCCGATGCCGGCCACTTGATTTGAGAGAGGAGTGATTCCGGGGGGGGCGCTGACAGGATGGGACTGAGGGTGAGTTTAGGTCTGTTGGTGGGGACGAGGGTTGCACTACGGCGTTGGTGCAGACGCGGGCCGCAGGTCGAGCGTGCGAGTATATCGTGCACTCCTGCAGGCCCTTGCCTTGCGCCAACCCACTAAGCTGGCTTTCGGCCCTTCGCAAACCATCTCACTTGCTCCCCTCTTGGGTATGCCTCCTCTTGCCTCCTCCCTCCTGCGGCGTTGTGATGCGCCCTGAGCGCCTTCAGACGATGAAGGGGGGGGTAGGACAGGACGGGGGCGGGGAGATTCGCCAAAACTTGGCGCAGGTGCTGCATGTGCGCACTGTTGCAGCGGCTAGTGAGTACCGCACTAAGCTGACCGTCTCCTCGGCGAACCAGGTCGCAATCCAAATCCTCGTCCTCTTCGTCCTGCTCCTCCCCGCTCTCCGCCGTCCCGTCCCGTCCCTGCGGAAGCCAAGAGGTCCCGATACCCCTTTTCCCTGGACCTCTTCCGCGGTGCGTTTTGACCGGGCCTTCGAGGCGACTCCAGCGGTGGCGCCGAGGGCCGAGGGCCACCCAGGACGCCCCAAAGCGGCAGAGACGAGGGGCGGGTGGCGGTCATTGGGGCACCTCTTCCTCCTCCTGGCTCCCCTGGCCGCGAGGCGTACTTCGCCTTCTCGAGGAGCCTGCGGCTGGAGCACAGTGCGCCCGCGGGTTGGCGGGGGCAGCGCGCCGGGACGGCCGCCGTCGGCGTCGCTCCATTCGAGGGTCGAGGGCCGATCGCCCGAGGTTCGGCCACGCGCAGGAGGGGGGAAGGCTTCCCAGAAACACCCCTGCTCAGAGGGCGCGGGCCGTCTCTATAGTGCAAGTCGGGGGTAGACAGAACCCCCAACAGTGACACGTCGATTAGTGAATTGTCCGTTTTCGGTTCTCGAGAGGGCGCCGTGGCCGTCATTTTCCAGGCTTGCGCCCGCCAGGTTTGGGCCTCAGGTCGTTTTCACTAAACCACGTTTTACTAAAGGGGGTTCTGTCCATCCCCGAAAGGCCGGCGCCGTGTAAGAAGCAACCCTGTTTTCAGAAGCGTCCTCCCCTCCTCCTACCCCCGTTGTGCGCGCCGTCAAGGGGCCCTCTTCTGGCGCGCCTCGTCCTCCGCAGGCCTCGTTCGAGGCGCCTCGTCGCCACGGCGGAGCTTCTGACCAGCACGCATCCCAGGAGAGGTCCAGCGATGAATGCTTGATGGTGTCGTCGTCGTCGTCGTGGTCGTCGTCGTCGTCGTTATCGTCGTCGTCGTCGTCGTCGTCGTCGTCATCGTCGTCGTCCACCATTGGTTGGCAAGTTGGCCCAGGGGAAGCTCAGCGAGTGTCCGCGGCCGGGTGGGTGGGTGTCCTTTGACGAACGGGGCCAATCACGTACATGTCTTCCATCATGGCCTTCGTAATTATTGTCGCCATCTTGCTGCTTCTCATGGCTTTCGTCGTCCTCGAATGAGAAAGAGAGAGAGGCAGGGGAAGGAGTAAGGACAAACTTCAATAGGATGATTTATCGTTCTGGCACGGGCTGCGGGAGTAATTGTCAAGACTAAGTAGATCTGTACGGGGTCATGTGGAGACAAGGCCGGACCAGATACTCACATGTAGCAGAGTCTTTCGGGGTCTTGGAGACAAGGACTTTGATTAAGCAGTGCTGTGGCACAGCGGGAAAGTAGCACCCTTTCCTGCAAAGCTAGATTTCCGGTCGCCCAGTCAGACGGACGCGCGCGTCGTAGTCTTCAAGATGGTTGAACACTATATTTTGCGCGATGGCTGCCCGAGCGTCTTCGGTACAGTGGTTCTGTTCGGTTGCCCCGCAAAGTCAATTGGGGGTGTTTGGTTTTCTCTGTACTCCCCGCGCAGCCCTCCTCACCTCACCCTCCTTTCCCCCTCATCCCCTTTCACACTCATCATCACTATCACCCACACAGTCAAGCCGCATAGTAAGGATGGGCAAACTTGCCAAGGGTACCCTTGCATCCTTGCCTCCTCGGTCCATCCTTCGCCACTTCCGTTGGCCGCGCCCCGCTCGATAAGCTTCGACATGGGCGTCCACGGCGCTTGCATCCTTATCGCGCATCCTTATAATACGGGCCGATTGCACCAATCATCATCACTGTCGCCGTCCCGCCATGATCACTTTCATCATTATAATCATCATCATCAGCATCATCATCATCAGCACCAGCAACACCATCTTCACCATCCGCATCATCATTGCTAACATCATCACCATCATCATCATCATCATCATCATTATCATCATATTCATCATCATTACCGCCATCACCATCATCATCGACAACATCTTCATCACAATCATCGTCATCATCGATTACATCATCAGCATCATCATCTTCATCATCATCACCTTCATCTTCGTCGTCATCGTCATCATCATCACCATCGTCGTCATCACCACCATGGCATGATCATTATCATCCTCAGCATCGTCATCATTATCACCATCATCGTCGTCGCCTTCATTATCAGCATCACCATCATGATCATCATCATCATCATCATCATTAGTATCATCACCATCATCATCATCAGCATCGCCATCATCATCCTCACCACCATCATCGTCATCACCACCACTACCACCATCGTCATCATCATCATCATCATCATCACCATCACCATCACAATCATCGTCGTCATCAGCATCAGCATCATCGGCATCATCAACATTATCACTATCCCCATCACCATCACCACCAGCATCACTATTATCACCATCATCAGCACTACCATCATCATCGTCACAATTATTCACATTGACATCGCAATCATCATCATCATCATCATCATCATCATCATCATCATCATCATCATCGCCATCATCGCCATCATCATCAATATCATCATCAACACCAGCACCAGCACCAGTATCATCATCAGCATTATCACCACCATGAACACCACCATCATCATCACCATCACCATCTCCATCACCATCACCATCATCATCATCATCATCATCATCATCATCATCATGATTCCCTTCTTCTTCATCCTCATCTTCAGCTTCAGCTCCGTCTTCATCACCATATTCTTTTTCATCTTCATCTCCATCTCCACCAGCATCACCCACACACTGGCACTCAATCCGAGGAAGTCTCGAGCGGGAGCTTCGTCTGTGAGGGACTCGCTCGGACGCCTCGAGCAGGAACACCTCCCAATGGGATCCCCCGCGGGGGCCCAGCCCGGCATCCGAGCGGGGCCATTCGCATCCTAAGTACGTAGCTGGCGTCGCTTGTGGGCTCCGCAGGCCTGGCACTGGAGGAAGTCTCGAGCGGGAGTTTCGTCCGCGAGCGAGCCGCGAGGACGTCCTGCGAGGGAGCCCCTCCCTCCCCTGCGCAGCACAACCGTCGGGAGCAACATCGCCGCCGCCCTCTCCCTTTGCAGCGAAGCCATCTCGCTTCTCGCCTCCCGGACCTGGTGACCTCCCCCCCCGACCTCTCCAGCCCTCTCCAGACGGCTGCTACTAGAAATCCAACGAGACTCCAAGCGGGTTCCAGTACAGCCAACCCGCAGAGGAAGGATGGGCAAACCTTCACAAGCATCCTTGCCCCTTCGGCTCATCCTTGGTGGTCACTTTCGCTGGCCAACCTCGTTCGAACAACTTTCACATGGGCCTCCAAGGCCCTTGTATCCTTACCGCGCATCCTTACGATACGGGTTGACTGTAGGGTTCCAGCTGCATTCCAATGGGGTTCCTAAGGGTCACAGCAGGAGACCCCTACTATCCCAATCCTATTCCCATGGGGTTCCAAGCTGGCGTCCGCTAGGATTCACAGAGGACTGCAACGCGGCCCAATCGGATCCCAATCAGACTGCAATCGGATTCCAATTAGATCCCGATCCGATTTTAATGTGTTTCCAATGTAATGCCAATGGAACTCCAATGGGATTCCAGCTATACCCCAATCATATTCCAATCGGATTCTAATCGGACGATACCCATCATATTCAAACATGACTTCCAAACGTATTCTAGTAAAAGCTCACTCGGATTCCAAGAGGATTCCATTTAGATCCCAATGGGAATCCAATCATATCCCAATCGGACTCCAAGGGAATCCGCATCGGATTCCATCAGGAGTTCAATCGGATTCCTTCTTATCCCTTCTCCCCCACTCTTGCGGGAATCCTTGTTCTCGGAGTTGCGGTGCTAAAGTAAAGCGGTCGGTCCCGGGGGGGGGGGGTATTCCTTGGCGTGGCCTACTCCTCAGAGCAGCAGGCAGCAATTGTCAATTGTTGGACAAGGGGTCGAATGTGGAAGCTGCATATCCGCAGACTCTCCCCTCGTCCTCTCTTTTTTTTCCCCCAACCATCCTGTGGTGTTGGGTCCTCGTTTTGAAGAGACGGTGGTCCGCGTCTCCTCATCCTCTCCTCTCCTCTCCTCTCCTCCGCCGTCCGCATGCGTCCCGCACACCCATTTCGGCACACCCCTCACACGTTTCGTGGCCCCACAGGGAGCTCCACCGAAGGCCCCAGTGCTGCCGTCCGCATGCGTCCCGCACACCCATTTCGGCACACCCCTCACACGTTTCGTGGCCCCATAGGGAGCTCCACCGAAGGCCCCAGTGGCTGCCGTCCGCATGCGTCCCGCACACCCATTTCGGCACACCCCTCACACGTTTCGTGGCCCCATAGGGAGCTCCACCGAAGGCCCCAGTGGCTGCCGTCCGCATGCGTCCCGCACACCCATTTCGGCACACCCCTCACACGTTTCGTGGCCCCATAGGGAGCTCCACCGAAGGCCCCAGTGCTGCCGTCCGCATGCGTCCCGCACACCCATTTCGGCACACCCCTCACACGTTTCGTGGCCCCACAGGGAGCTCCACCGAAGGCCCCAGTGCTGCCGTCCGCATGCGTCCCGCACACCCATTTCGGCACACCCCTCACACGTTTCGTGGCCCCATAGGGAGCTCCACCGAAGGCCCCATGGCTGCCGTCCGCATGCGTCCCGCACACCCATTTCGGCACACCCCTCACACGTTTCGTGGCCCCACAGGGAGCTCCACCGAAGGCCCCAGTGCTGCCGTCCGCATGCGTCCCGCACACCCATTTCGGCACACCCCTCACACGTTTCGTGGCCCCATAGGGAGCTCCACGGAAGGCCCCATGGCTGCCGTCCGCATGCGTCCCGCACACCCATTTCGGCACACCCCTCACACGTTTCGTGGCCCCACAGGGAGCTCCACCGAAGGCCCCAGTGCTGCCGTCCGCATGCGTCCCGCACACCCATTTCGGCACACCCCTCACACGTTTCGTGGCCCCATAGGGAGCTCCACCGAAGGCCCCATGGCTGCCGTCCGCATGCGTCCCGCACACCCATTTCGGCACACCCCTCACACGTTTCGTGACCCCACAGGGAGCTCCACCGAAGGCCCAGTAGGGTTTGCCGTCCGCATGCGTCCCGCACACCCATTTCGGCACACCCCTCACACGTTTCGTGGCCCCATAGGGAGCTCCACCGAAGGCCCCAGTGCTGCCGTCCGCATGCGTCCCGCACACCCATTTCGGCACACCCCTCACACGTTTCGTGGCCCCATAGGGAGCTCCACCGAAGGCCCCATGGCTGCCGTCCGCATGCGTCCCGCACACCCATTTCGTCACAGGCACATGCGTCCCGCACACCCATTTCGGCACACCCCTCACACGTTTCGTGGCCCCACAGGGAGCTCCACCGAAGGCCCCAGTGCTGCCGTCCGCATGCGTCCCGCACACCAGGTGTGTGGCGTGCCGACATGGGCGTCGCGGCGCGCGGGCGCTGCCGTCGGGGTTCCCAGGGAAGCCCCCTGCAGAGGCGACGCTCAGAGTCACGAGTACCGAGAGTCACGCAGACCCAAACTGTTCACAGTCGTATACATACATTTACACTGGGCGTATCCATGCACGCATTCATGCGAATAGAATCAATCGCGCGCAGATTCATTCATAATCAGACTCGCTCGCGATCCGACTCGCACGCGCTCAAGCTTTCATATTCGGACCTATCGTCTTCGTTCGTGTTGTGTACACTGCCACGCATTTCGGCACACCCCTCATACGGCTCGTGGCCCCATAGGGAGCGCCACCGAAGAAGATATTCACAATTGCGATACTCTCAACTGCATATGGTTGGGTCCTTCGCCAGGCTTTTTTTTTTTGTTTTGTTTTTTTTTTTCTCTCTCTCTCTCTCTCTTTCTTCCTTTCCATTCTCTTTCTATTTGTCCCTATCTCTGTCTCTATCTCTCTCGATCTTCTCCCTCCCCCCCTGGGGGCAGCGCGTGCGTCGTCGTCGTCGTCGTCGCTGTCCGTCGTCGTCGTCGTCGTCCAGGTTTGATGGTTTCGATGGGTCTCTTGGCCAAGTTTGCGTTGTGTAGACGCGAACCCAAGCAGGACTATTTCAGGAGGTAACCTGCGAAAACCTACCCCACCACCCCACGATATCTAAGGGGGGAGGTGGGTTTCACTTCGTTCGGGACCTCCCGAGCGATGTGCCCAGCGTGCCCCTTGAGTGAGGGTCCCCTGCTGGCTCCAAAAAGGGGCCCTAAAGTGCCCTAAAGGGGCTTCACCCCCCATGTGGGTCACCCCCCACTACCACCCGCACAACTCAAGTTTACCCAGTCCACGGGCTGCGCAAATTGTGCCACCGTGGTTGACGGACATGCGCTGCTTTGAACGCAGGGTTTGGTACCGTGGCTCTCGCGAGCATCCTCGACACTCTGCAGCACACAGCAGCGCGGAAGTCGTCGAGGCGCATACAGTGATAGATGCCGCGTGGCAGCATTTGTGTGTGTGTGTGTGTGTGCGTGTGTGTGTTTGTGTGTATGTGTGTGTGTGTGTGTGTGTGTGTGTGTGGCTGGCGTCTTCCTCTTGCAGGCCGCAACATGCGAGAAGAGGAGCTGGCGCAACAGCGTCGTATACGCTTCGAACGCAGAGCGGAGACGAGATAGACGAGGACGGCGACGGCGGAGGGGACAGGTGAGGATGGGGGAGGCTTGAGGAGGAGGAGGAGGAGGAGGAGGAGGAGGAGGAGGAGGAGGAGGAGGAGGAGGAGGAGGACACACAGAGGAGGGAGGTCGGAGAACGGGGGGCGGAGAGCGGAGGACCCTCCCTCCCTTCGCAGGCAAGGCCGCCCAGGCCGGCCTGCAGGAGTGCCTGACGGAGCTCATGAAGTGGCGCTCCGTCGCGGCCCGGAAGAGGCACAGGAGGCCGCCCACTGGGCGCTGCGTAATGGGGGGGTCATACATGGGGGGGTGTCGCGGGTGGTCCGAAAAGGTACCCAGACGGTACCTAAACGAGCCCCCTGGGGCTCCGGAGGGGCCCGAAAGGGGCACGAAAGGGGACCGTTTCTGACCCCCCGATTTATGACCCCCCCGTTAAGCCACGCCCAACGCCCACGTCGTTTTCCGTCGTCGATGCCGTTTTTGTTCGCATCTTCTTCGTTTTTTTGTTCCCAGCCCTCCTTGGTCGGGTGTTCGTTTTGCACAGAGCACTGCGGTCGCGTCTTCTCCAGCCCGCCTCCCCCTCCTGCCTCTCGCCGCTTTCTCTCTCTCTCTCTCTTTCTCTGTTGCTCTCTTTTTCTCTTGCTCTCTTTCACTCGTTCTCTGTCTCTCTCTCTCTCTCTCCTTCTCTCTCTCTCTCACTCTCTCTGTCTCTCTTTGCCTGCGGTACCTGTCTAGGACCTCGCCGTCCCTGGGGGGCTGCGATCTGCGACATTGTCGGCACGTTCGAGGGCTGCTGGTGGGTCCAGCGGAGTGACGCACCGCACAGATCTGAGCGGGACCTCGCCGTCCTTGGGGGGCTGCGATGTGCGACATTTTCGCTTCTTTCGTGGGCTGCTGGTGGGTCCAGCGGAGTGAGGCACCGCGCAGACCTGAGCGGGACCTCGCCGTTCCTTGGGGGCTGCGATGTGCGACATTGTGGTCACTTTCGAGGGCTGCTAGTAGGTCCAGCGGAGTGAGGCACCGCGCAGACCTGAGCGGGACCTCGCCGTCCCTGGGTGGCTGCGATCTGCGACCCTGGGGGGCTGCGATGTGCGACATCGTCGGCACGTTCGAGGGATGCTGGTGGGCCCAGCGGAGTGATCAGGATCGTTTATCCGACCTTCGAGACCCCCACCAAATTACCCCCCCCAGTCGGGGATACACCCCTTGAAACCCGAAGGGAACGACCTAAATCCCCATTTAGGGGGGTAAATCTGCCAGTGTGGCCCAGGCAACGCCGCTGGGGATGGGGATCGGTTAAATGATACTCAAGTGAGGCACCGCGCAGACCTGAGCGGGACCTCGCCGTTCCTGGGGGTCTGAGATTTGCGAGATTGTCG